GTGTCTGTACACACACACACACACACACATATATATATTTTTTAAATATACTCTTCTATTAATAAAGACAGAAAACATAAATCGGGACAAGAGTGTTTAATGATAGTGGTATCATAAAACAGGTAGAAAGAGAATTAAAACTGCACGGGTTACACTTACCATCTTGCTCAAAGTCCACATTAATTAATTGATAAAGATAAATTTTTTACAGCAGACATAATTTCACTTCTAACGTGGAACGCTAATTAGTAGTTAATTTTCTACTAGAGGAATCAAAGGTGAGTTTTGGATTTGAAGATCTCATTATATATCACAGAGAGAAGTATCTAATATTTGGTGGGGAGAAACTGGTGAGGAGTAGTCAGCTACAGAAAAGCAGAAGACGAACTATAGAAATAATCGGCATCTAAGTCAGTAATAAGTACCAGCCATCACTTACGGTTTTATGCCCTTTACAAATTTGCTATAAGAATATGTCAAAAAACAATGGAGAATGGGAAGAACAAAAACAGACTTAATTCTTACATCAAATTGGATCCCCAGATAATTCACAGTGATCTCAATGCCTCTTGTGACAGGATCAGTTTTCCCAACCCGGTCAAAAACGATATTAATCGTTGCCTGTAAAGACACAGACCTTTATATATTAGAGCATCTCAATAATCACTATTTCAAAAAGTGACTCAAAATAATGAATTAATCAATATAACATCCTACAGGTAGATGTTCCATCCTACCTATCCTATAGGTAGATGTTCTTAAAAATTCAATTCTATTCTCAATCTAAATCATATATAACACATCTATTATAGTTATTCACATATAGGCAAACAAAAGTCCTTATGTACCCTACCTTTTCTGTAAAAAATAAAGAGAAAAAAAGGCTATGGCATATGGCATGTATACCTTCGGTTAACAGAAGTCAGAAAGGTAACATTCTGGTGATACAGTTAGAGTGAAATCAAGGAATTCCAGGGTCATTCCCTCTGGTTATTTTCTGAATGCTCTAAGAGCAATCACTAAAATAATGAAAAGAGAGTTACAGCTAACAAGGCAATAAGAGATCAGATGGAATTATGAAAAATATCCAATTTATCCAAAAGAAGGCAGAAACAAAGAAAAAATGGAAAAAAGAACAGATGGGACAAATAAAAAACATAATAACAACATGGCTGTTTTCAACCCAACCATATTAATAATCACATTAAATGTAAATGGTCTAAACCAGGGTTGGCAAACTCTGACACTGTAGTGATAGTAGCCACAGATGATACGTAGATGAATGGCCTTGGCTGTCTCTCCAGTAAAACTTTATTTACAAAGGCAGGTGGTGGTTGGATTTGATCTGTGAGCTGTAGATGGCTGACTCTTGGTCTAAACATGCCAATTAAATGGCAGAGACTGTAAGACTGGATAAAAAAGCAAGACCCAATTGTACGTTGTTTATAAAAATCTACTTTAAATATAAATATACAAATAGGTTAAAAGTAAAAGAATGGAAGAAGATATACTAACACTAATAAAGAGAAAGAGAAGTCTGTATTAATATCAAAGTAGATTTCATAGCAGAAAATACTGCCAGGGATTAAAAGGGTCATTTCAATAAGGCGTTCAAAATGACCCAGAAGGTGCATGTACCAAATAACAGAGCTTTAAAATACATGAAGCAGAGGTGTCAGGAAGATGGTAGAGTAGGAGGATACTGAGCTCACCGTGTCTCAAACACATCAAGATAACAGCTATATCTGTGCAACTAACTCTACTCTGAAAACCACCGGAAGATTGGCAGAACAGACCATCCACAGTTAAGTGTTGGGAGGCCACATTGAAAAGGGTAGGAGGGGCTGAGACACGGTTGGGAACCAACCCCCACCCGTCTGTGAGACTAACCACAAACAGGAGGGACACCACAAGCACAGAGGAGAGGATCAGACCCCACCCTAGGCACCCGAGGCAGTGGGATGAGGAATTCCAGTAACATGTGGCTTTGAAAACCAGTGGGGCTTAACTTGGGGAGCTTGTAAAATCAGCAGGGCTAAACTCCAGGTACTTTAAAAATTAGCAAGGCCTAACTCTGGAAGAGCCAGAGGGCAACAGGAAACGAAGTCCCTGCCCTTGAAGAGCTAGAATAAATACCTTGGCCTGAGAGACAGCAAAGAAGCAGCAGTTTGAAAAGTGCCCAGGGTATATGTGAAGAATATTCATTTATTAATCTCACTATGTGCTGGAGGCGCAGGGAGACTTCAAGAACAAAACTGCTGGGCACCATTTCTCTTCTCCTCCCCCAGCCTAGATAGCCAGACACCTGTGGGCACCAGGGCTAATACTCCCTACCTATCTCGCTAGCACCAAGTGCCCTGGCCCCATGTTCACCTGGGGACCTGCCTGCCTCGGCAGGTGGCCCTCTAGCACAGCTCCTGCCCTACTACAAGCAGCCTTAGCAGGGACCAGCACCACTCCAGAGGGACTGCTGTCTTGGGGAAGGGGAGAGGTTACATCAGTGTGCCCATAGTTCCAGCAGCTGAGCCTCTTAGTTGGCTGTGCAGGGACCAAACCCTGCCCAGTGTGCCCAGAGCAGGCAGAGCAGGTCACTGCAGCCATCTGGGCTGAAGGCAAATGCAACTCAGCCACAGCAGTAGGGCACATGTTTCCCACAGAGGAGACACCCTTGGAGCACCTGGTTTTGGTGACCAGGGACACTGCACTACAGGGCACCACCGGGTCTCTTCTACACAAGGCCATTACTATCAAGACCAGGAGTCACAGCTGGCCCCCAATACACAGAAACAAACAGAGAGCTAGATAAAACGAGGAGACAGAGGAATATGTCCCAAATGAAAGCACAGGACAAAATCATAGCAAAAGAGCTAATCAAACTGAGAAAGGCAATATACCTAGATAAAGAACTCAAAGCAATGGTCATAAAGATACTCATTGGACTTGAGAAAAAGTGGATGAACTCAAGGAGAACTTCAACAAAAACATAAAAAAGAACTAGAGATGAAGAATGCAATAACTAAAATTAAAAAAAGCACACTAGAGGGAAGGGCAGATTAGAGGATGCAGAATGGATCAGCAATCTGGAAGACAGGGTAATGGAAAGCAACAAAGCTAAACAGCAAAAAGGAAAAAAAAGGAATAAAAAATGAGAAAAGGTTAAAGGAACTCAGCAACTCCATCAAGTGTAGTAACATTCGTATTATAGGGATCCCAGAAGGAGAAGAGAGAGAGAGAAGGGGGCAGAAAACGTCTTTGAAGAAATAACAGCTAAAAACTTGTCTAATCTGGGGAAGGAAACAGACATCCGAATCCAGAAAGCACAGAGAGCCCCTAACAAGATTAACCCAAAGAGGTCCACACCAAGATGTGTAATAATGAAAATAGCAGGAAGTAATGATAAAGAGAGAATTTT